GCGGGGAGGCCTTACCCCAACCCCACCCTCCACTGGCATCCTTGTCCCCTGCCAGCCAGGACATGAGGCTTCCCGCATCCCTCTGGGCAAACAGGGAGGGGGATTTCTGAAACCTCAAATTAGGAGGGCTCTCCAAGGAGGAGCCAGGACCTACCCGGTACCCTTGACCCTTAGATCAGTGCTGCCCACCCTGGAGGGGAGCAGGAGGACTCATTTGGCCACCCCAGCCCTCACGCCCAGGTTGTGTTTGCAGATTGAGGTTGGCACCCTGGCTCCTCGCCCCAAGGACCCCGCACCCCTCCCAGACCTGGGCACTGCAGCTGAAACCCCGAAGCCACAACCTCCGACCGCTGCCGGCCCCATCCATCCAGCACCCATCCCCGCGCAGGGTGAGTGCAAAGGGTTGGGATCCCGCGGGGAGCATCAACGTGTCCCAGGGGTGGCAGGGCCGGTGCTCTGGAGAAAAGGGAGCAAATCCTTTTGCCACCAGCAGACAGCAGCAGTTATTTGCTCTGCCCCGGGTGTTGGGGGTGCGCCTTATCACACAGCAGGCAGGAGGGCTGCTGCGAGACATTTCTGGGAAACAAGAGCTCCAGCAAAGCAGCAACATTTTAATGAGCGGAGGCATTGCGACAGTCGGACAGAGTAGCAATTAGATTAGTGACAATTAAAATCCTGTAGCGAGGGATAAATATCTTCATTCATTTTCTGTCACCCTGGACTGGGACAAATTAAATAGGAGGCAAAGGGAAATTGTTGCCTTGCTGCTTTGAACTCCCTCACTAATGGATGCTGATTCTCAGAGGCTCTGGGGGAGAGGAGAGGGAGTGCATGCGTGGGGGGACACGGTTTTACCCCTCCTGTCCCCTTAGCCTGGCTTGCCCGGACCCTCACACAGCTGAGACAGATGTTTTCCTCAATGCAAAACCGGTTTCTTTTGTTACATTTCCTTCTGGGGGGAAAATATAAGGGCGGCGAATGAGCCCTGCCATGCATTTGGAAACCCTGCATCTCCCCCTCTCCCATGGGACGTATTTGGCCCTGAGTGGCTTCATTTCTTAGCAGCCTTTTTTGGCTGGGAGTTTCTAACCCTTCCCTTGATGAGGTGCCCTGGGCTGTGCCGCTGATGGGGGCTGTGACAGCTCAGGGTGCACCCATGGCATGGGCAGGGGTGGGCACATCCCTTCAACTCCCTGCATGCTTGGGTGCTTTGGGGGGGCCATACCGTACCATACCATGCCATACCATACCATACCATGCCATGCCATGCCATGCCATGCCACGCCATGCCCTGCAGGTCCTCCCAGCTGCCTGCTCTGCCTCTGCATCGGCACCTCCGTCTACTGCGACGATGCCGACCTTGAGCACATCCCACTGCTGCCACCGGAGACCACCTACCTCTACGCCCGCTTCAACCGCATCGGTGCCATCCAGGCTGGTGATTTCATGGGGCTGAGTACGTTGAGGCAAGGGAAGGGCCCGGCCTTGCAATGGCGAGCAGTGGGAACAAGCATTTCTGCATGGCTCCCCGTTCATCTCCTCCCTCCTCTCCCACCAGAGAAGCTGAAGCGAATAGACCTGACCAGCAATTTCATCTCCCGGGCAGACGCGGATGCTTTCCGCCTGCTCCCCAGCCTGCAGGAGCTCATCCTGCCCGAGAACAGGCTGACAGCGCTGCCCGAGCTGCCCCGCAGCATCGTCCGGCTGGACGCTCGTCTCA